TGCCTGTCTATTAAGCACATTTCATGAGTGACATTTAAAAAAAAAAGGGGGGGGGGGATTGTAAGATTGTATTGACTTCTATGGACTGGTCTCCACACAGTTTTTGTATCAATATAATTGTTGGTTAGGGGTGTCGTTGTTTTTTTAAACACTGATATAGTTATCCTGGTACAGCTCCTAATGTGAATGCAGTTTTGCCAGTACAAAGATGCCTTAGAGCAGTATAGCTAATTCCCCTTCTTCAGTAAATATTTTTTATGTATTTTGGGGAAAAAGCTTGCTGCAGTCTCATCATATAGTGATGATAACACTCTTTCCATTCCACTAGTATCTCTGGAGGGTGCTCATCAGAAGCTACTGAAGTTAGACATTTTTAAACCAGCAGGTCCAGAAAACTTGTATGCAAGAGTTTTAAAAGAATTGGCTGAGGAGCTCAATGGACCATTAATGTTGATTTTTCAATAAGTCAGAGCACTGGGGAATTAGAAAAGCTATTGTTGTGCCAATTTTTAAAAAGGATAAAAACAGGGTAATTAGGCTTGTCAGTCTGACATAGATGCCGGGCAAGATAATGGAACAGCTTGATATGGGACTCTATTAATAAAATAAAAAAAAATGGAGATATACCTATCTCATAGAACTGGAAGGAACCATGAAAGGTCATTGAGTCCAGCCCCCTGCCTTCACTAGCAGGACCAAGTACTGATTTTGCCCCAGATCCCTAAGTGGCCCCCTCAAGGATTGAACTCACAGCCCTAGGTTTAGCAGGCCAATGCTCAAACCACTGAGCTATCCCTCCTGCAAAAGGAATTGAAGGACAGTAATACAATTAATTCAAATCAATCTGGGTTTATGGACAATAGACCTAGTCAAACTAATTTTTATCTTATTTTGATGAGATTACAAGTTTGGTTGGTAAAGGTAACAGTGTTGATACTTAAGAAATCTGTAAGGTGTTTTTGACTTGGTACCATACGACATTTTGATTTAAAAACAAACAAACACCAAAACACTAAACATGATGCACACTAAATGGATTAAACCCTGGCCAACTGGTTGGTCTCTGTCTGTTACAGCTTTCCCCCTATTCCATTTTGTTTTTGTTCTCCTCCTGTGGCCGCCCCTCCCTGGCTGTTAAGTTGTTTACCAAGAGCCATTGCCATTCTCAAAGGGATGGCCATTTGTGCTGCGTGCTAAGTGGGACCACTGCCCTGTTCAAAGGGTTGGTCCTGTTATCACCTTGTTAAACCTGGGCTTGGTGTAGGGTAGGCAATGTCCAGAGCTGCAAGACCTAATGTGTTTTTGAGATCCTGGGCATGAGTCATAGGACTCAAAAGCACATGAGGCCTGAGGTGGGAACTCACGCCTATGGTCCAGGACTCTGCCCAGGCACGTCTCTATGCTCACCTGTAGTTTTTCCCTGTATCTCTTCCCCTGTGACAGAAGGAGCCTATCAGGATTACTGGTGGGGAAACTGCCTGAGATTGCCTTTAAGAATAGGCATTTTTGAAACAAACATCAGAAAGGTTCCTGCATTGCTACTTGGTCTGATCAGCCAGGGGTTCTGGGGGGGTCCTTTCTCCGCTCTTGTTTTATTTTTGAGCGTACCCCCGTTTTTAACCCCCCCCCCCACGAAGAATGAATTGCTGCCTGAGAGACCTCCTGATTATCAAGACCGTACCGAGCCCTCCTTGCTTCTTCTGATGTTGTTGCTGCTTCTGCTTTTGCTGCTGCCTTGGGGACTGGTAAGAATCCCTCTGTGAAACTTTCTATACTTTTATTACTTTAGCTGCTGGCTCTGTTTCCCCAGCACACAGACTCAAGCTAAACCTTGGTCTGTGTCTTAAAACCTCTCTTAAACTCCTTGGTCTGTATCTGTAATCTGTTTCTTGCTTTGCAGCGCCTTTGCTGCTAGAAATAAGCCTGTGCCTTCCTGGACTGTATCCTGGGCTGCCAGCTTGCAGCCACCACTAGTTAAATCCCCCTCCCCCCCCTTGGAGCTGTATCCTGGGCACACACCACTCTGCCCTCTGGAACTACCCCTAATATAAGGTGCACCCATTAGGTTAAATTTTGTCTTTTAGTCTAGATAAGTTGTAATTTCATTTTGCATAGCTGTAGTTAAGATAGGTTTAGAAAATTGCTTGCATTGTACCCTGTAAGTTAGGCTTAAAGAACTGTTGCATTGTGTTTTGTTACTTGCTAATTTGTGTAGTTTTGGTTAAGTTAAATCATAGATAAGATTTTGCTGTGTTTTGTATAATTGTCTCTCTGCTGTTTAAACTTACAGCCTGTCTGCTCTCTGTGTTTCCCTGAGTTTAAATCTCCCTCTGCCTTTGGCCTCTGCTCCACCATGTGCTCCTCTTCCCCCATCCCCCAACCTCACTTCTCTACCACTTTCTTTCCCTCTCTCTCCCTTTCTCTCTGCTGTTTAAACTTGCAGCCTGTCTGCTCTCTCTCTTTCTAGCATAAAACCCCCTTGGTTACCCCTTTTCTACCCCTTTTCTCTCGAACACACCTCACATTTTACATTTACACCACTGTGACACATTTTTTACCTAAAGTTGTTGGTTATTTAACACATTTTACCCATACTGTTAGTTGGTTATATGCTGCTGTGACACACTCTATACATAGAAATTGTTAGCTACCTGTTACATTTATACTTCAGTGTTAATTGGTTACCAACTGTATTGTACCCCACTATTGAAACTCCCTATCCCATTTACTAAAAGAAACCCCTCCCCAATTGTCTACTTTAACAAACCCCATACCCCTCACTATTGAATTTTCCCTGTTTTTGCATTTTCTTAATAAAGTTTATTTTGCATCCCACCAGTGCAGTAGTTGTCCCCCAAGATCCCCTACCTGCTGGCAGGGACAGTCTCAACATGTAATTTTAAATGAATGGGGACTCATCCTCAAGCTGGTGTGTTTCCAGTGGGGTCCCGCAGGGATAGGTTCTTGGCCCTATGCTATTTAGCACTTTTATCAATGACCTGGAAGAAAACATAAAATCGTCACAGATAAAGTTTGAACAGGACACAAGAATTGGACGTGGTAAATAATGAAGAGGAAAGGTCACTGATCAGAGCGATCTGGAGCTCTTGGAAAACTAGGTGCAAACAATATGCATTTTAATAGGGTCAAATGTAAACGTATACATCCAGGAACAAAGAATGCAGTTCATACTTTCAGGATGGGGGGGACTCTATCCTGGGAAGTGGTGACTCTGAAAAAGGTTTGGGGGATTGTGGTGGATAATAAGCTGAACATGAGCGCCCGCTGTGATGCTTTGGCCAAAAGAGCTAATGCAATGCTGGGGTGCATAAACTGGAGAATCGTGAGAAGGAGTAGAGAGGTTATTTTACTTCTGTATTTGGCACGGATGCAACTGCTGCTGGAATATTGTCCAGTTCTGGTGCCCACAATTCAAGCAGGATGTTGATAAATTGGAAAGGGTTCAGAGAAGAGCCATGAGAATGATCAGAGGATTAGAAAACATGCTTTATAGTAATAGACTCAAGCAGCTCAGTCTATTTAGCTTAGCAAAGAGAAGGTTAAGAGGTGACTTGATTACAGTCCATTAGCACCTACATGAGGAACAAATATTTAATAATTGGCTCTTCAATCTAGCAGAGAAAGATATAACACAATCCAGTGGCTGGAAGTTGAAGCTAGATAAATTCAGACCAAATAAGCGGTACTTTTTTTTTTTTTTTTTTAACAGTGAGAGTAATAAACCATTGGAACAATGTACCTAGGGTCATGTATCAGAGGGGTAGCCGTGTTAGTCTGGACCGGTAAAAAGCAACAGAGAGTCCTGTGGCACCTTTAAGACTAACAGATGTGTTGGAGCATAAGCTTTCATGGGTGAATACCCACTTCATCAGACGCACATATTCACTCACGAAAGCCTATGCTCCAACACGTCTGTTAGTCTTAAAGGAGCCACAGGACTCTCTAGGGTCATGGTGGATTCTCCATCATTGACCATATTTAAATGATGATTGGATGTTAGAAAAGTGGATGTTATATGTTAGATTGGATGTTTGTTGGTGCTAAACCATGTGACAGCTCCCAGCCAGCCAAGCAAACTCCTTAGGACTCTCCCTACCTTTATTTTGCCTAGCAGGGAGCACTTGGTGCTCACAGTCCCCGAACCCCCTTTGCAGTATCCTGTCCCTGGACACTAACAGAAATTACCAAGTCTGCTGTCTCAAAGAGATAGAATACACTGCAGCCTGTTGGCTCAGCTGATGTTGCACACCAGGTATGCAATTTACATTAGAGAAGGGAGACAGGCGGGAAGATAATTATCTGGAAGAAAACCTGTTTTTTTCCCTTTGCTTTAAGACTTTAAAACAAAATCAGTAAGTATCCATGATTTGCCATAGAGTGTCAACACATACATTGCACAATGATATTAATGACCAGTGTGTCACTGGCTTTCCTTTGATATCTTACACAACATTCTTTATAGATCAGTATCATGAGAGCAATGAGCTAAGTGTGGTGAGTTTGTCAGGCTTGATACAAGTCGCTGTTACATGGGCAGTGAACCCTTTGCCAGTGGGCATTAAGGGGGCTCTTGTGGTCACCGGGCCCTTCTGGCTTTGGAATCTATGAATGGGAATAAGCTACACTGGTATAAGCACTTTTTTATCCTGGTATAATTGTGTCCACAGTAGGGAGTTTTATACCTTATCCAGTGTGTGATATAAGAGGGTTGGGTAACTGAATTCTGATTCCTGAGATGGGCAGTATCAGCCTGCTACAGAATAGATCAGACACTTCAGTGGGTTTTACTTTTTATTTTAAGGAGTGCTTTGATAAGTCATTGCTGGGTAGTACCACCCAGAAAACTGAAACTCCTCTCCTGGCTCTTTGAAAAGCTACTTACTGCTGTTTAAATTTGCTGTTCAGTTTGGAAGCTAGGGTTGATGCAATTGTTTGCTGAACCCAGTTTTATAACTTTATTTCCCCCCCCCCCGCTCTAGAGTGAAGGAAGGAGATGGTGGACCATCTGGTTAACACTGAAATTAACAGCCAGCGCATTGCTTCCGTGGAAAACTGCTTTGGGGCATCTGGACAACCCTTAGCTGTGCCAGGAAGAGTCCTTCTGGGTGAAGGCATTTTGACCAAAGAATGCCGCAAGAAGCCCAAGCCTCGGGTATTCTTTCTTTTCAATGACATCCTCGTGTATGGGAGCATAGTGATAAACAAAAGGAAGTACAACTCCCAGCACATCATACCTCTCGAAGATGTCACCTTAGAGACACTGCCGGATACCTTACAAATGAAGAACCGATGGATGATTAAAACTTCGAAAAAGTCCTTTGTTGTTTCTGCAGCCTCCCTCACAGAAAGGAAAGAATGGCTCAGTCACCTTGAAGAATGCATTAGGCATCTGCTGACAAAGACAGGCAGGCAGCCCTCCACGGAGCATGCTGCCCCCTGGATACCCGACAAGGCCACTGATATCTGCATGCGCTGCACACAGACCAAGTTCTCCACGCTCACTCGCAGGCATCACTGTCGGAAGTGTGGCTTCGTTGTGTGTGGGGACTGCTCCAGACAGAGGTTTCTGATGCCACGCCTGTCCCCCAAGCCGCTGAGGGTCTGTAGCCTATGCTACAGGCAGTTGATAGCAGAAAAGAAGAAGGAAGCAGAAGTTGACCTGAGACAGCCAGAGCAGATTGACTCTTCCATGACTGGTTATGAACCATCTAGTGGTGATGACAGTGATAAATCTGATGATGACAAAGTGGAACGGTGGCCGGGAGACGCAGAGTTTTATGCCTCAGAAGTACCTTGGTCATCTTTCCATAGTTGACCTTCTTACCCTTTGGCTTAAAGCCTGAGGAGCCAAATTCTGACTTCTGATCCACGCATAGCCCTCAGTATTTTCAGTGGTGAGCGTACATTAGAGGGTGAAATTTAGCCCCTCTTTATCTTGTTTACTTTCATGTGTTTTCCTGATTAAGTCAGTCTCTAGTGATTTAAGAGAACTAGTATTGTGTCATATTACTCTCGCAGGGCATGGCCTACATCAAGACAGTGTGGTACAGTGGGCAGAGCACTGGACTGGGAACCAGTAAACCAAAGTTGTGTTCTCTGCCCTGCCATTGGCTTGCTGGGTGATCGTGGGCAAGTCACTTCCCCGCTCTGTGACTCAGTTTCCCTATTTGTAAAATGGGGCTAATAATGACATTCTTTGCTAAGAGCTTTGAGATCTACTGATCTCTATACAAGAACTAAGTATTATTGTTATTGTCTCAAATATACTACTCACCTGGGGGTGGACCCTTTTGTTGATATTAGAGGCCCATTGATGGGGTAGCTTGTGCTGCTACTGCCTGTGCTGTACCTCCTCTGTAGGGAAGAGAGGACTTCGCCTCCAAGGCTGGGATTTGTCATGAGCACTAAATACATATAAAACGATAGAACTAGAAATCTGAAGTACATGGAAACCTGGGCTGGTGCCCTTTGACCTCAGTACGGTAAGATACTGAAAAATAATCAGCAGGAGACCTGGGTTAGACTTTTAGACTGCCTTTTGCTCCCCAAGCTACCTGAAGCTGGGAGCCCTGGGGAAACGGTGATCTCAGGAACGGGAAGTCGTGTGTGGCTCTGAAGCGAAACCTGCTGACTTCTCATGAGCATCATTAGCACAGCATTGGAGAAGTCCTCCCTCCCAGTCAGAGAATAGCCATTGTGATGACAGAAGGTAATGGGAGAGTTAAGGTTTATATTAGGGGTGAGGTGAGAAAGAAGAGGCTGGCTCAACTCAGCAGAATCACCCCACCCCTGCCCCACACGTATATATTTCCAGGTCTCAAAATCAGTAACCCAGCCAGATTCCACTGCCCCAGGGATGGAAGAACCCCAGCCTGGTGGGTGATGTAGCACACGGTGGTAGAGCTAGTGCAAGAGGTGGTGAAGGGATGGGTGGATGGTCAAAACTAAGGTCGGATTCTATGAGATGCTGAAATTACTCAATGCCCAGTGACTCACTTGCTCATTAAGGCCCCAAGCCTTTGCTGCAAACGTACGTTGCATAACTTCAAGTGTGAGCAGTCCTGCTGACTTCAGAGTTATGCACATGTGAGTGTCTTCAGGTTCAGGGCATAAAATTATATGCTTAATTAGAATTGAACTTTGACATTAAAGTTAATCTCAAGTGAGAGACTGTGTCTATTCAAATAGCCTTTCGTCTCATGTGTAACTAAAATCATTTACTATCAGTGAAAATTAGACAACAGCAATTGTATTGCAGCAAATAACTACAACAAAAGCTCAGTTGCTACCTTTTTTGCATATTTTATATTGTGTATTTTATACTCTAGAGCAAGAATTTAGTTAAAAGTAATTTTCAAAATAATTTTTTCCTTACCATAGTCCAGTCTGTCTAAACACTGAATTGCATGCCAAATGACCAGGTTGGGTTGGTTTTTTTTTTTTAAATTAGTTCAAAGCAATTATTCTCATGGATTTTATTTTTTCCTTTTTTATATACTGCCAATGTCCAGCCAGTTTGTATTATTCAACCAATTGTCAATAAAGATATGGCCAAGGAGGGGAAAAAAAGTGACAAAAAAGTAAATGTGCTGTTATTTAACAAAAAAACAAGCATTGGGTCATATGCTTTGATCTAAACACATCCAGTCTAGGGTGAATTCAGCAGCAACTCTTCAGTCTTGTACTGAACATTCGGGTTTTCTATTTACTACTTGAAAGTGAATATTACTGAATAATATCCAAGTCTGCGGCTTCCTTTCTGTTTATTCCATTCTTTCTCAGCAGACTAAGTTTTCCCAAGACTCTTGCTACCCCTGCAGTAATTGAAGTGGTATTTTCTGTGGCGGGGGGAGGAGATGGTGCAGAAAGGGCCAACAAACCTCATGACCAAAACACATGTTTCTGGTTTTTAGAGTAATAAAGAACATTGAGTCCTATTTTTTTCCATCCCGCTTCAAATTCTAGTTCATAATTATGAACAGTGGCAAGTGCATTTATAAAGCCTCCCTCCCACAAGTCAGTATAGGCTTCACAAACAAAATAGGACCCTAACAAAAATAAGTAATTACAAATATCAAATAGGAAAGCCCAGAACAGAAGCCCCAAACTTCCCTAATGTGAATCTAAACAAGATACTGGGGTTGAAATATACTTGGCATTTGAGAGCTCTACACGTGCTATGAGTGCTTATCTACATTAGGCCTTTTTAGGCTTTTTTCTACAAAATTTCTCACTGCTGCTAACCCTGATTCACCACCACCGGTAGGCACATTAGTGTAGACAAGAGTTTCAGATACACAGTGCACAAAACACCAGGAGCCATGCTCACAATGGGTCTCCCATGATCACTGCCACCAGTGGATCTAAACTAGTGGCAGCAAGGAGGAGACTGTTCAGGCTGAGGAGCCCTGGCACCACACTTATTTGGTAAGTATTACAACCATTGCTGGGCAGGAAATTTCATAAAACTTTTGTTTCTTTTAATTGTCTGACCAATTGTTGTGACTTGGCCAAGTCCACAGAAAGGGTGGGTGTTCAGAGCCTGGGGATTCCTGGCTCCCAGCCCTGTGAACACACAGGCTTTACAGCAGGGTTTGTACTAATACAATACCACCTGCATTTTTAACGTGACTAGCTGTTTGTTCATTTTGTTTTTGTTTTGGCCTGATCCTATGACGGCTCCATTTAGAAAGAACTTCCTGTTTTGGAATTAAATAAATCCTTCTGCTGGCTTGATTATGGAATTTTAAACAGGGGAGAGTGGCAGTGTGCAGGTTTTGTGTGTTAATTGCATGACAACTGAACATAACTAGGGGCCTATGTTAATCACAAATACTGACCTTGAGGGAGAAAGTATCCAGGTTTGTTTTTTGGGGGAGATCTTCCTGCAGCACTCGCTGGTGGCTGCTATGCAGTGACACTACTCTTGCTGAGAGGGTTACCTGCCCCTCCAACTCCAGTGCAAATGCCCCATTTTGCAGCAGTTTTGGGGAAGTGTTGCCAGATGTTGAGTTCTACAGCTAGGCAACTGACCCACTGCAGTGCTTTCGGAAGAGCACTGCACGGTGTACATGATGTTAAAATGGTGACAGCCAGCTCCACACACAAAACTGTGAGCTAAAGCAGGGAGGACTAGAACCAGCTGACTACACCTGGACTAAAGTGGGTGCAAGAGCTGCAGGACCAGAAAGACAAGCTATAGGAGAAGTGCAGAGCTGCAGGTAGAAGGGTTGTCAGGCAAGGGAAGGTACCAGGGCAAGGAAGTAAACAGGGGAGTAAAGTCTGGGCACTCAGAGAAGTTCATGCCTGTTTCAATAGACACTGGAGCAAGGGGGGGTGACAAGCCAAGCGAAATGGAGACTGAGTGACTAATTGGCATTCAACCATTGAGACAGTTGGGAGACATTTTTGGCAAGAGAATGAGCTGCTTTTCTGGTGGACGTGGAGGGGGTAACCTTCCTTTTTTCTGCAGCAGTGGAAGGGGTGTCCCCGAAGCTTTTGAGAGCAAAGAGAAACATTCCATTTGTTGAGCAATGCAAAGAAATGTCAGCTCTGGGGCATGTGACCTACTGAATGTGTTGGAGGCTTTCCAAGCAAAATGACAGGAAAACAGAGCTAAAGTTCATGGAATGTTGAAAACCACAGCTTCAGCTCTCCAAAGTCAATAGCAATATAATGAAGTGAACAAAGCAACTAGCGTAGCAGCCTGCTACAAAGGCAGCAGAATGAAAGGTAAGAGTGACCGATCTGAGTTGTGAGTAAAGTGAAATGAAAGGCTCTAAAGAGCTGCAGTAAATTAAAGACATGTTCTAGGCTTCTAGATTCTAGAGGGTGCTGCCTGGACAACACACACTGTGTGCCACAGTGATCATACTGCGGACTGGGAGCAGCTTACAAGCGTGTGAGGGCACCCCAGTAAGATCAGCGCTGGAGAATGGGTATTTGAGTAGCCAAGTCGGAGATCTGGCCTGCCATTCAACATTGACTCTGCAGCAGCAAAGAGCTGATCTTTCAGTCAATGTGGGATTGATTGATTTATTTTTTTAAAGAAGGAACTGAGAAAGGCAAATCTAGCATGGAGGGCCAATCTATACTGAGCCTTGAGGCTCATCCTAAAAATATTGGTTCTGCTTGTCTGACTCTTTGGTCTAAGTTTTGGTTCTTTAATATGTAAAGAACAACAAAGTTGCTAAAGCCAAATTTGCTCTCATTCACCAGAAGCTCTTGTATATTTTGTACATGAACCCACAGCGAATTCCCCTGCAACTGGGACCTGAGTGCTGAATACGTATGATGGTTCCTCAAGGCCTGTTGATGTAAAAATAATATTCTGCTTATAATCTAGAGTGGCTCTGTGCTAACTTTTCCCTCCTGCCTCACAATGGTCCTGCACACCCCAGCTCTACCATGCCTGGGGCTTTCCTCAGCAAAGATACAGATGACTCGCTTGCACTACACTGAGTGGGGCTGTCGGATGTGGATGACTAGGGCAACATTTCCAAACTTTAACAGCCTGCTTGGAATACTATTTACGGGAACAGTGCAACTAATCATTTCACATGATCGTCCGCACCAGCAACAACCAAAAAGCAGCCACCCTTAGCAGCTTGGTTTCAGATGGAAGAAATGTCTCAGCCGAGTGAGGCAGATGCTCCACTGAATTAGAGCAGCTTTGCACCTCTCTCATCAACAGAAAGCTGCCCCAAAGCCAGCTTAGCTACCTTGCAAGGACTTCCTAAGCCTTCCTCCGGTGCCATATCCATGCTAGACCCTCCTGAACCCCCACAGCAGCTGGACAACCCAGCAATCCCTGGCTCCCACTGGCAGCTGGTGCAAGCTAGAGCAGTCTTCAGAAGGGTTTATTAGCACTGGGGAATATTTTGTCCAAAAGCAAGAGACCATCCTTTAGCAGCTGATGTGCGGATCCTCACAGCCTATTAATTCTGCACCTGGCCCAAGCCAACCACAGCCGGTTCAGCAGTGGCAAGGAGAGGTGTGCTCACTTAAGCCCAATCTCAGGCTGCAGTTTTCAGGTGTTAGGATGAGTGTGGAAGGAGTTAAGCAAGGCTGCGTCAAGCCAGATTATACCAAACCGCTAGGAACTGAGTTACCTAGAGACCTCCCAAGAGCTCCTACCTTCACACTGCCACATGAACCACTTGGAGTACAAGCAGCATGGTCAAATATGCTCTTGTGTGCACAGCTTGGTGATAGAGCTGAGATCACGCTGCAAGCAGAAGTGCATGAAAAGGCTCTGGTTTGTATGCTGGGTGCTTTTGCCCCCTCACCCCGAAGCTGCCACTTCTTTCACAGGGAAGCAAGAGCATGCAACAGCTTAGGACAGGAAGTGAAGGGACATAAATAGTGCTCTGTGTTTTTTGCTAATGCAAAACAACAAAAAATGTATGCCACCGAGCCAGGTCCTGCTCCCAGCATGATGGAGGGGGGGCGGGGCCAAAGCTGAGCCAGCACTGCACCCCGATACACCAGGTCACAGTGCCCACAGCTGGCAGCCAAGCTCCACAGGACAAAAGCTGCAGCTGTGGGGTGAGTGCAGGACAGACTTGTTCTGCAACCAGTGCTCAATTTGTGCCAGGACTGAGCCCTGGCACTTGTAGGCTTGGCCATTCATAGCCCCAGCACCTCTGGGCTTGCCGCATCAGTTATAAAAGTAAATTGTTGCTTGAGCCCCAGCACTACTTTCATTACAAATTAAGCACTGTCTGCAACCCCCACACCCAAGGGCTTCCACCCCGCAGGGGGCAGGACAAAACAAAACAACACATTCCCATAAAGTAAAATGAAGAATTATAAAAAATAAAAAGAATGTCACAGGGCTCTGAAAAGGTCTCCAGTAGAAACTGCTGGGGCAAACAGTCCCAGAGCTTGAATGACAGTGAGCAGCCGCAACTCCCATTAAACCCAGCAGGAATTGTGAGTGTTCAGCTGCTCTTGCGACGTGGAAATAGTTAACCCTTGTGAGCAGGTTGTCCCAGCGAGGCTGCCAAAGCCGCAGCTTGTGCACTACTGCCACAAGTTCAAGGAACTTGTCTTTACTTTGCAAATTCTAGTCAAAATGAATTATGTGCCTCTTTCTCAAGAGGACTAAGATTTTCCATCCAATACTAATTTTTAGGGGAGGGCAAAAACAGGTCCAAACATCAGACTTTTGTTCTTTCAAAAACTATTACAATTTGGTGCCTTCTCTTGGACTCATGAATAAACTGCATACGCTGCAGTATAGTAATTATTCAACACTTGGCTTTCACCCCCCTGCTAAAGATCACTTTGTAACTCACTGCGGGGAGGATCAAAAGCACACATCCTCCAAGGCAGCAAATCCTTTTTCTTCTCCTAACTAAATACATTTCAACTCCTGTTAGTATAGTTATTTCATCACACCACATGTTTTGCTTTTATATTTTTACCCATAAAAACGATTTCAAAATGTTTTGGTGTGACCACTGACACAAACAGGCTTTGAAAAAGGAAAATGTTAGCTCGGGTGGGCAGGCCTCTCGTCTTCCTGACAGTGTAACAAGAAAGAACTACTCACATCCCTGTTATCAGAAGAGTTACATCCAAGGTAGAACAAATGCAC